AATAGAATAGAATAGAATAGAATAGAATAGAATAGAATAGAATAGAATAGAATAGAATAGAATAGAATTCTTTATTGGCCAAGTGTGATTGGACACACAAGGAATTTGTCTTGGTGCAAATGCTCTCAGTGTACATAAGAGAAGAGATACATTCGTCAAGAGTCAAGAATCATCAGGTACAACACTTAATGATAGTTATAGGGTACAATAAGCAATCAAATCATACCAGGAAACAGTCAATATAAATCCTAAGGATACAAGAGACAAAGTTACAGTCATACAGTCACAAGTGGGAGGGGGTGGGTGATAAGGAGTGATGAGAAGATTAATAGTAATAGTGCAGACTTTGTAAATAGTTGGACAGTGCCCTTCACCTGTAGTCTAGCGTCTTCCTCCCAACAAGCTTCATAATTCATAAAAGGAACGTTTCAGGAGAAAAGGAGATAATAAAGAACATTCACGGCTCACACCATGAATCTGATCTACTCATCCTTACTTACTCCAACAAGTCCTGAAATTTTGGGCTAACAAGGGAGTCCATCTACAACTTGAACGGTACTGGGAAGACTTTGGAAAATGTCTGCGCTGGGAAGGTTGCCCAGCTATAAATCTTGAGGATTGCGTTGACAACTGGGAAGATGGAAAGACAACTAAATGCAAAACTAATTGAAATAAGGAAAAAGAAAAAGATGTGTTCCCTTGGGGGAGAGGACAGGTATTGGGCACCTTGATATCTATCGGAACCTTACTCCAACTTGATGAGATAATGATGGTGACTAGCTCAGATATGATGATAAGCTAAGCTTCAATATCATGCAGGATTTCAACCCATGGTTTCCTGATTTGCTTTGGAAAGCAACAGTTGGCCATAGTTTGACCATACAGATGTTATAGATAAAAACCTTAGAGGTTAATGTGGACATGAAACTGAAAGAAATTACAAATAGACTGTGATGAATCTTCTAAGGAGCACTTCCTTAGACAATTTTGATGTCTGGCACTACCTCCTATTCTAGTTATGATAGTATATTATCTTGATCTCACAATCATAACCTCCCAATCGATGCAAAAGCTATGCATGGAGCAAAGAGGCAGGGAAAGATCCATGCTCGGCATCACAAGACAAGATAGAAAGACCTCCACGTGGATTAAAAAACAAACTATACTCTCAAAAGAGTAAAAGAATAGAAATGGAGGTTGGCTGGTCACATAGCCAGAAGAACTGATGGCAGATGGACCGAGGCAGTCATAGAATGGATCCCAGTGGATCAAAAGTGTCCATGAAAGAGACCTAAAACAAGATGGATCAAGGACATCAACAAGTATTTTGAGCCCAGTTGGCCAAAGAAAGCTTGGGATCGTATGGGTTGGAAACATGTGGAAGAGGCCTCCATTCTACAGCGGATAGACAATGGCTAAAATGATGAAGATGATTCTTTTGAGCATCATTGCTCTGGTATTAAAATCACCCATTTGGGTTTTTGTTAATCCAAAAAGAAAGCTAAGGAACCTAAGCTGTCCCAATTTTGGGACTCTCCAAAATCCCACAGGAGACACCCCGCCCCCTCAAGCACTCTTCCCATAGTCCAAGGGTCTTCAAACCTGGCGAGTTTAAGACTTGTGGACTTCAACTCCCCAAATTTCCTGAGCTAACATGACTGGAGGAGGAATTCTGGGAGTTGAGGTCCACAAGTCTTCAAGCTGTCGAGTTTGAAGACCCCTGCCGTAGTCAAAGACTTACCGCGTCCATTCTGATTTGGTCTGTAGATGCTGCCCACACTCATGCGGCCTTGGTTGACCCCTTGGTTGTCTGGAATCACTTGGGGAGTTTCAGAATTCCGGATAGGAAGGTAGGGCTCGGGCCGAGGGACCCCTTGGGGGTCTAAGGGCCGGAAAGGAGGCTGGGGTTCCACGTTGCGGGCAGGGATGTAGGGCTGTTCGGGAACCTGCCCAAAAGGAGGATACTGCCTCACCCATGGCTCGTTCCCATAGCCGGTACCAGCATTGGCAGGCGATGCAGAGTGGACATGTAAGTTGTCTGCGAGAGGGACTCCTTGGCCCTGATTCTGGGTAGACGCGTAGGAATCCGGGACATTTTGGTCAAAGCTAGTTCCGGTATCGTGGTAGAGGCTGTGGGAATACCGTCTGTCTAAGCCATCCGGAGATGGGAGCTGTTGGGCGGGAGGCACATACGGCCTCTCCTGGACAGGGGCATAGGGTTGAGCTTGGTAGGGATTCTGCTCCTCTGAATACTCTTCGTACCTCGCTCTGGGTTGAAAAGGGTTCACCACCCCAGCGCTGGCTGCGGCGGCTGCCACAGCGCCGCCCCACGTCCCAGTGGTACGGTAGTAATTGTGGCTCTCATCGTACACCCGTGGCGCCTGTGGGTCATAGGCCTCATACTGGTTGGCATAAGGGGGCTGAGGGTAGCTGCCCTGTGGGTAGAGCTGCCCAAACGCGACGTACGAAGAGGAAGAGGACGCAGCGCCCACCTGCCGTTGACGAGGCGTGGAAGACCAAGGTCGATGGGAGTTGGAGCTACTGTCTCTGGTGGTTCCATCTCTCCAGTTGTCTGGGACCTGCCCAAAGCCAAAGGGGTGCCTGGTTTGTCCCCGGACTGTATCAGATCCTGACCTGATGGGTAAAGTTGGCGCTTGCCTTCGAGTGTTCCCTGCAGTGCGTTGTCCTTGGTTAGCGGCAGCATCGGCCAACATCACTCTGGCGCTGCTCTCGGCTCTTACGTGGCTGGCCGGGACATACTCCGAGCCGGAGTTCAGGAGACTGTACAGCCTCCCATTATTCTCCCACTGGATCATCTGCCTCCAGTGACCATTGTCCGCATTGCCCTGTTGTGGATATTGTCCACGGACCAGGAAGAAGGCAGCAGAACCCATCAATACCCAGAGGTCCCAGAAGCCGTGAGCTGTCATGTTGAGGCCGAGATCAACAGGCTTGACCTTGGTGGACGTTCGTCGGAGTAGGAAAACACCTCCGTGAAACAGCCCCCGGGGCTGAGTTCTAAGGACTGGCTTCTTTCCTCCTCTGCTTCCCTCCGCAAGCCGATCTCAACGCTGTCCATTCCTCACTTGTGCTAAGACGTCCCAGCAGTTCTCAGCAAATTTCATCTTGAGGTTATGGAGGGAAAAAAGCCTGCAAAGAATGAGGCTCTGGAGCAAAGGGGAGAGAGAAGAGAGAAGAACCTCAAAAGTTTTCCTTGATTTTTTGGTCTTCTGTGTGTTGGGTTTCTTTCTTTTTTTCTTTCTTTCTTTTTTACATTCCCTTGTTCGCAAAGGAAGTTGGTGGATCTCAGTTGCTGGATGGTTTTGTTCGTGCTCTGAATGAATAAGCAACCAGCTCTCGGGGATGTTTTAGGACCTTCTACAAGCAATCTGTTCACAGGGTCCTAAAACCAGCCAGTTTTCAATGGTTAGCCTTCCAGCGTTACTCTCTCTCCCTCTAGCCCGAAAAGAAAAGTTCAGCGAAAAATTAGGTGGCATATTTCCGAAATCGGCAAAGAAAGAGCTGCTCGATCCAGCTTTCTTGGGCTTCCTGGAACCAGGCGAAGGAAAAGGGACAGTCACATCTTCTCCAAGTCAAACCAAACGGTTTATAGCATGCCCTAGGATTTTTAAGCTTGGAGAATGTGCACAGAATCATTCATGCGTCTTCCATCTCAGCCCGCAAATATTATTTTATTTTCTTGGTTGGGAACCTCGGAACAAAGGCATGCCCTTCCTGTATGCTTTTCAGTCGACAGAAATTTTTTGGCAAAAGCTTGCTCTTTAAAAAAAAAGTCACAAAAGAATCATACCATCACAAGGCTCTAAGGGACCTTGGATGTTTTCTATTCCACCCCCCCCCCCCGCCAAGGCAGGAGTGCTTATACCATCCAAGGAAAACGGTTCTCCAATTTCTTCTTTAAAACTTCCAGTGTTGGAGCGTTCATAACTTCTGGAGACAAGCCATTCCACTGATTAATTGTTCTCACTGTCAGGAAATTCCTCCTTATTTCCAGCACGCATATCTCTTTCGTTAAGCTTCCATCCATCCTGCGCTCAGGTGCTGTAGGGAACAAAACAGCACCCTTATCCTTGTGACATTCTTGGAGTTGAAGCTCACAAGTTTGGAGACCCCTGATAGAGACGAATAAGTGCGGTGAGAAAGATTTTCAGAGTTATCAGACGCTGGGAAAGGGAGATAAAAGGGAGAAGCGAATTGCTAGTTGGAGATCATTGATAAACACAGAATTCCCTGCTGCAACAAAGCACAACGATCCTTTCTAATGTGAATTATTTTCTTGACTTTGCCTAAATGTCCTCCCCTTGCCCTCCTCTCGTTTATGTGCTTCTCTATGTTTTGGAACAGCAGGTAAGTTTATTCAAGTGGATGAATCAACACCGGAGCATTTCCAGCAGAAGGACAAATCAATAACATCTTTCTTGAACACTGAAGATGGCATTTAATTTCGCAATGACAATAGAATACAATAGAATAACAGAGTTGGAAGGGACCTTGAAGGTCTTCTAGTCCAACCCCCTGCTGAGGCTGAAAACCCTACACCATTTCAGACAAATGGTTGTCCAATCTCTTCTTAAAAACCTCCACTGATGGAGCACCCGCAGCTTCTGGAGGCAAAACAATCTACTGGTTAATTGTTCTGCCTGTCAGGACAATAAAATGAACTGAAACGTAAACAAGCTAAAGCTAAACTTTCTTAAACTCAAGGTTTGAGTTTATGATTGCTTCCCTGACAGGGCACAGAAGTGTCAGCTTACCCACAATATTTTCTTATGCTTTGAGGCTGTTTCCTGTTGAAGCAACCCGGTAACCTTTCTCTTCTTTCTGAAGTCAATTTCCAATCCAAAATCTGCTTCATTTCATTCCTGAAAAAGGCCCCTGTTGATTTTTTCCCCCCACCACCCCTAGGTTTTGCCTGCCAATGTCCGGAAGGGAGCTGAAACAGGCTGCAACTTCGAAGCACGTAGTGCTCAGCTATGTGAGAGAGAAGGATTCACAAAATGCCACACAAAAAGAACTTTGAGAAAACAGGTGTGAGTAAAGGAAAATAGCAGAAGGAGAGATTGACTGCCCTTCTTTATATCTGAGGGGTGAAACAGGCCAGCTGATGTTCCAAACGGATGAGATGTAAGGCCTGGTAAAGCTAATCCAGATTTATTTTTATTTATTTTTTATTTGTCAATTGCTTACAAGGTAATAGGTATAAGTAAAAACATAGTTATGAATACATGGATACATATAAGAAAAATAAAAAAGAAAAGAAAAGAAACAATAGGACAGGGACGGTAGGCACATTGGTGCGCTTATGCACGCCCCCTACAGACCTCTTAGGAAAGGAGTGAGGTCAATAGTACAGAGTGTAAGGTTAAAGTTTTTGGGGTTTGGGGAAAAAAACCACAGAGTCAGGTAGAGTATTCCAGACATTGACCCCTCTGTTGCTGAAGTCGTATTTCCTGCAATCAAGTTTGATGCGATTAACCTTGAGTTTGTATCTATTGCGCGCTCTTGTGTTGTTATGGTTGAAGTTGAAGTATTCATTGACTGGTAGGACATTGCAATGTATGATTTTATATACTAAGATCGGACCGAAGGCGGCGTAGTTGTAGGTTTTCTAGGTCTAGAATTTCGAGTCTGGTGGCATAAGGTATTCTGCAACGAGTAGAGGAGTGGAGAACTCTTCTTGTGAAATATTTCTGGACTTTCTCCACTGTGTTAATATCAGATACGTAATGTGGGTTCCAGACTGATGAGCTGTATTCGAGTATTGGTCTAGCAAATGTTTTGTATGCTCTAGTTATTAGTGCAATATTACCAGAGAAAAAGCTATGTAAGATTAGGTGAACAACTCTTAACGCCTTTTTGGCTATGCATCTTAAACCACATTCTTCTCACTGAAAACAAGAGCTCACCGAACACAAGCAAGAACAAATCATGAGTTAATGCCGTTTTGTGCCTGATCTGCTCTTGGGTTTGAAGGTAGACAACCTCGTTTTCTCAGCACATGGAAGCACCTTGAGATGGAGGTGACCTGATTGCATGGGAGGGAAATACTACAACCGGGGCTTCACCTTGTTCCTTGGATGGAATTCCAAGATCCCACCTTAGGGATAGAGAGGACGAGAGAGATCCACCAAGGGAATCAGCCATTATAACTTGAAGGAGATTTAAAGAACTGACCCAACAGCCTTAAGGATTCTTGAAGGACCCGCTAAAGAAAGACCAGAAGTCTAACTCTTACTGCTGAGTATCCACACATCCCTATCAGCTTTCTTAAACTTCTCATCACCCTGTGTACAATTAACTATATCAACACGTCCAAGTGTCCGCAGCTTTTAAGTTGCCTTTGGAAAATTCCCCTGAGACCGGCCTCTCAGTTATGGGCAGAAAGGAAGAGTATATAAATAGTAAGTCTATCTTAGCCTATTTTCCATGCTCGGTGGGGTGGGTGGGGGCTGGGGTGGGGGTGGAAGGGGAGCCTTGCTTGGCCCCTTCTTCTCACAAATCCTTTTGGAGCGCTGAAGTTCCTTGGCCCAGTGCAGAAATCCGAGCGATGCAATTTTATTGCGTTGTTTATAGATTGAGGGAAGAGGATACCAAACCCGTTGCACATACTGAGCCCTTCCTGGGCTTAAATCAATGGCATTGCCTTTAAGCACACACACACACACACACAGACACACACACAAATGTGGAGGAGAACCCAGATGTCAAGCCCTGAAAGCTGAGGTCCAGATCCTCCAAAGACTTTTGGCTTCTTGCAGGCCATCACACCGTGGGACGCCCAGGCGACCAAAAGCCAAGTTATCGGAGGATTTTGTGTCTTTAAACTCTGGCCGTGCTTTAATTTATTTTTCCCCTGCTGCTTCCAATTCTCAGCTCAAAGGCTGCAGGAAGGAGGCCAGCTCAGCGAAGTCGAGGGGGAGATTGGGGAAGGCTCAAAAAAAAAATCAAATCAAAACAAAACAAAACAAAACCCCGAGCTCGTGATGGGAAGTTGGTGGACGGGCCACCCCTGCTTTTTAAAGTTGCATCTGGGGGGCAGCTGTCCCTCCAACCCTTTCTCCAAACAAACCAAGCCTTCAAGCCAGGGCACCCTGCAGAAACCCAAAGAAATATGTCCTATCTTGGCCTACTTTTCCAAGTTTATTTTCTTCCCCTCTCCTGGTTCCCCCTCCTTTCCCCCTCAGGGATTGGAAATAGCAGAGCTGATGTCAGAAGCAGAGAAACCTCTGCCAAAAATGAAATGTTGGATAAACTTACAGGCTTTGCTTCATCCTTTCCTGGCCTTCCCCATCCATTTTATCTTCCCTTCCCCCTCCAATGTGGTACGGGAGAAAGCCTGTGGGTAAGGCCACCTGGGTATGTTTAGCCTAACGAAGAGAAAAGCAGTAGGGGTGACTTGGTAGCATCTCCCAATCCTTCAAGGGCTGTCATGGAGAAGAGAGGGTTGACTTCTTCTCCAAAGCCCCTGAAGCAGGGGTGGGATTCAAATGTTTTAACAACCGGTTCTGTGGGCATGGCTTAGGTGGTGGGCATGGCTTGGTGGTCATGTGACTGGGTGGACATGGCTTGGTAGTCATGTGACTGGCTGGGCATGGCCAACTCAACATCACTCACATCGAGGCACGCATCTCCTCGCCTGGCCTCTCATGACTGTGGGGATGCTGCAACAGTCGTAAGTGTGAAAAATGGTCATAAGTCACTTTTTTCAGTGCCATTGTAACTTTGAATGGTCACTCCACACAAGCAAAGTACCAGCAAAGGAAGGAAAAAAACTCCAGAGAAGTTCCTGAGACAGGAAGTCTAGTCCTGCCAAGAATTTAATAAGGGTTAACGGAGAGGCAATTTCTGTCAGCAACACCAGAATGTTTCCTTCCTGCCTTCCTTACAGGATTAGGCCAGTAATTTCTTTTAACAACCGGTTCTCCGAACTGCTTAGAGTGTTAATAACTGGTTCTAGCGAATAAGTGCGAACTGGTAGAATCCCACCCCTGCCCTGAAGGCAGGAGAAGAAGCAATGGGTGGAAGTTCATTAAAGAGAGATCCAATGTAGAAATAAGGAGGAAATTCCTGACAGTGAGAATCATCAATCAGTGGAAAAGCTTGCCTCCTGGATTGTGGGTGCTCCATCTCTGGAGGTTTCCGAGAAGAGATTGTAGGAGAAGAGCAGACTGAGCTAGAAGGCGGAGTTAAATGTGTCATCAGTTTGGAATCATCGCGTTGCCACAAGAGACCCAGGTGAATTCCCTTGATCCCTATCTAGAGCCAATTTAGATTTGACAGTTGACTAAAGTCTTGTGTAGGTAGGTAGCAATAATAAATTCTTCGGCTTCCTGGTTATTTGTGCCTGAGAAAGATTGGACAACCAAGATGGAATAAACACTCCTGCCTAGAAAGACCTTCATGTTCCTTTCCAGCATTATGATTCTGTGATTCAACCAACATGGTTGTTTGGAAAACAATAAAGGTTTCCAAACAATATTCAAACAATTGTCCTTCAATGACAAGAGCTTCAAACCCACAGATAATTTAAACATTGAGATTGTATCGGATCCAAACAGGGCTAGCTCATCTGTGGCTTGTTCCAAGACCCTGAGGAGGCGGCTAACTTGATCCCAGGCTGCAGTTCTTTTTGGCCTCTCTGAAGGAGACCGCTTAAGCATGGTGGTCTCCAAGACTAGAAACTGACATTTCCTGAAACAGATGGACCTTCGCATCACATTTAGATCACGGGCAAGGGGATTTTAGGCTATCCAGATGTTGCGGGATGTTGCATCTCCTCATTCTTGGTCATGTTGCCTGAGGCTGCCGAGAGTTGTGCAACATCTGGAGGGCCATCATGAGGCGAATTTGGAGAAGAATGTTACAGTGTGCAAAATAAGTGCCATTTCTCCCACTGTAGCAGGGAAAACCAGGCGAGGTGGAGATGAGAGATCCTGTTTCAGATTACTTAAGCCTTTGAAAATGCAAACCAATCTGGATATGCCTTCGGGCCAAGGGGTGTGATCAGGAGAGCAGCATTGATGGGAACGTAACAGCTCCCATTCCTCGAAGCGGCTGCTCTCTTCTGCCTTAGGCGCAGCTGGAGGAGCAGGTTCTCCACT